GCCGTTTGATGTGTTGTAATTGGTCTTATATGATTTGTAGCATAGAAATGTCTCGTTGTAGCTGGGCGACAGCGCTTGTAGCAGTCGCTGAGGGTGGTTCGGTGGCAAGCACAAGAAATTGTTGAGACAAAGAGGTCAGTAACGTTTAGAACCGAAACTCACTGCACAATGGAAATTAACCAAGAGAATACTAGTGCTTCAACATCAGAAGTGGGATTTGGCTCACTATCTAACACTTCGAATGAGCCATTACGAATATTAATGGAGCAACAAAATAAAATTTTAATCGAGCTTGTAAAAGCGTTGCAATGAAAGGCAGCTGAAACAACAAATAATAAGACAATAGTGTTGCCAAAATTCAACGCAGAAGTTGTTGGCGCCGACGCAGCAGCATGGTGCGCTACAGTGAATATCATCATGGCGGACAATCCCATAAAAGGCAGTGCGTTAGTGATGGCCTTGAGTGCAGCGTTAGATGGCAGTGCATCGCAGTGGCTTTCACAAACATGTTATCCTGACATAGCTTGGGCCGAATTCAAGGAACTTTTTGTTCAGCGCTTTACCAGTGTAGAAATACCAGCAGCTACTTTTTTGACAATGTTATCAAGTTGCCCGGCCAACGGAAAATGCCTCTCGAATTACGCTAGTCGCATGATGACATCACTCATTGCTAAATGGCGTGAGATGGACGTAGAACAGATTGCTATTTCTGTGACGCTTGCTCACTTGGCCCACGTTGATCCCAGGTTGCAGCGATTGACTTTCACATCGAACTTGCGCACTAGGAATGAGCTGCAATCCGAACTTAAAGCTTTTACATTCTTAAACGCAAGAAAGCTCCACAAGAAGACTCGGCTCCATTGGATATGAAGCAGAAACTGTCAATAATAAGGTGTCATCACTGTGGAAGAATTGGGCACAAGATCGCTGATTGTAGAGCTAGATTGCAGCCCAATTTTCCCCGTGTTGCAGAGCGTAATGGCAAGAGCGCATCTGGTAATTATCAACCATCAAAAGTGACTTGTTACAAGTGTGGTGAGGCTGGCCACATTTCAACCTACTGCAGTAAGCCTAAAACGGAAAAGGACAAGGGTGCGCATCAGGAGAAACGAGTGCATCTTTTCGAAGTCGTCGAGCCCAAAG